GTGGATGAATGGATACACAGAATGTGGTCCATCGGTACAATAGGAGATTATTAGGCTACGGAGAGGAATTACATCCGGCCACAACACGGATAAACCTTCAAAACATTATGCTGAGTGAAAGAAGCCAGGCACAAAAGGCCACATGGTATATGAAATGTTCAGAACAGACACATCTATGGACCCAGAAAGCCGACGAGTGGCTGCCAGGGGCCAGGGGCAGGAGGGAATGGAGAGAGACTGCTAATGGGAACAAGGTTTTAGGGGGAGGTTGTTGAGAATGTTCTGAAATTAGAGAGCGGTGAAGGCCACAGATCCCTGTAAACGTACTAAGAACCACTGGATTGTACACATTGAAAAAGGTGAACATTATTGCATGTGATTCATATCTAAATAAACATTAAAAATGAGTCCATCTGGGGTGCCTGGGTGGCTCAGTCGGTTAAGGTCTGCCTTCAGCTCAGGTCATGATCTCAGGGTCCTGGGATTGAGCCCTGCATCAGGCTCCCTGCTCAGCGGGAAGCCTGCTTCTCCCTCGCCCACTCCCCCTGCTTGTGTTCCCTCTCTCACTGTGTCTCTCTCTGTCAAATACATAAATCTTAAAAAAAAAAAAAAATGAGTCCATCTGTCCCTCCCCTCCACTCTCTCTCTAAAATAAATAAATCTTTAAAAAAAAAAAGAAATTTCAGGGGAAGGAGAAAAAAGAAGATGGAGGATTAAAAGAAAATAAGGGAGGGAGCCTGGTTGGCTCAGTTGGTTAAGCGACTGACTTCGGCTCAGGTCATGATCCTGGAGTCCCAGGATCGAGTCCCTCATTGGGCTCTCTGCTCGGCAGGGAGTCTACTTCTCCCTCTGCCCCTCCCCCGCTCATGCTCTCTCTCTCTCTCTCTCTCTCTCATTCTCTCAAATAAATAAATAAAATCTTAAAAAAGAGAGAGAATAAGGGACATATCAACTAATTGCAATATGTGAATGCTATTTGGATCTTGAGTTAAATAAAAACTGCAAAGAAATAAATTGATGAGACAATTGACATTTTGAACAGTGTGGATATTTGATAAGAAGAAATTAACTTTCTCAAGGGTGATAGTAGTATGGATACATGGTTTCAGTATGTTTCAGAAATACAGATTAAAATACTTACACTTGAGGGATGCCTGGGTGGCTCAGTCGGTTAAGCAGCTGCCTTCGGCCCGGGTCATGATCCCAGGGTCCTGGAATCGAGCTCTGATTTGGGCTCCTTGCTCAGCGGGGAGCCTGTTTCTCCCTCTCCCTCTGCCTGCCTCTCCCCATGCTTGTGCTTGCTCTCTCTCTGTCAAATAAACAAATAAAATCTTAAAAAAAAAAAAAGAAGTTACATTTGTGTGCAGAGCTCCAATTACCAGAAGCTGAAAACTGGAGACTCATAATTGGCTTGCAGAGTATTTTTTGAAATGTTGACTTGACTGCCAATATTTAAAACTCAGGTGGCGTCTGGGTGGCTCAGTCGGTTAAGCGTCTGCCTCCAGCTCAGGTCATGATCCCAGGGTCCTAGGATCGAGTCCCACATCAGGCTCCTTGCTCAGCAGGAAACCTGCTTCTCCCTCTCTCTCCCTCTGCTTGTGCTCTCTCTGTCAAATAAATAAAATCTTTAAAAAAATAATAAAATAAAATAAAATATTTATAGTTGAAAGAATACAGTGTGTGGGACTCTTTTTCCAAATGAATCGTGCTAACACACCTGGTTTCTGAGACACACTAATTTCTTGATTCTCCTCTCCTTTTTCAACCCTTTCTTGTTCTATCTGAAATTAGTTTATTTTTGGTTTTACTTGTTTCCTGTCTGTTCCCCACAAGAGCAGCAATCCTGTCTTTTGCACATCGCCACATCCCACAGGGTTAGCATACTACCTGGCATATACGAAGAGCTAAATACTTATTGAATGAATGAATGTCAGTAGAGGTCTTATCATTGCTCTGGTCCTGAGTCCCAGGTCCACATTTCCAATCGTGAACTAGACAGTGATGTCTACACCCAAACCAGATATCTCCTCCAGTTATCTTCAATGACGATGGTGATGATGATAGAAACTAACTGTTCTTTTAAAGATTTTATTTATTTATTCATGATAGAGAGAGGCAGAGGCAGAGGGAGAAGCAGGCTCCCCTCAGAGCGGGGAGCCTGATGCGGGACTCAATCCCAGGACCCTGGGATCATGACCTGAGCTGAAGGCAGACGCTTAACGACTGAGCCAGCCAGGCGTCCCAAAACTAACTGTTCTATCGCACCGGGTGAGGCCAGCACATATGTTGATTCATTTAATAATAACAATTACCCTTGGTGATCCCACTTAACAGAGTGGGAAGTTGAGGCCCCGAAGGTCATTTGGCTTGCCCAAGCTCACACACCTGGTAAGTGACTGCACCAGGGTTAGAGCTCTGGACTTGACTGCCTCTCCTTACTTAAGACTAGCCATTCTCCTAAGCACTTGGGCTCACCATTTGCGGTCACCTCAGACTTCTGTCTCCCTCCTCCTCCCCACCCTTTCCTGCCCTGGTCTTAAGGTCAGGCTTCAGGCCGGCTCTCCAGATCCGCAGTCATTGTCCCTCTCAGCCAACAATGCTAATTACATCTTTGCTGCCTTGAGGGCAAAACTGCCACTATCTGGGAATTCATTATTTATTCCTTCGTTCAACATGGGCACCCACTGGGTTCAGCTCCATCCCTCCCAGCTGTGGGAACTTAAGCGAGTTAATTAACCTCCTGCAGTGGGTTGGATGGTGCCACCCTGCCCCAAAAGATACTTCCTTGTCCCAATCACGGAACTGGAGACCTTCTTTGAAAAAAGAGTCTTTGCAGGTGTGATTAAGTTAAGGATCTTGAGATTAGATCATCATGGATTGTGCAGATGGGCTCTAAATCCAAAGACAGGTGTTCTTTTTTTTTTTTTTTTAAGATTTTATTTAATTATTTGAGAGAGAGAATGAGATAGAGAGAGAGAGCATGAGAAGGGGGAGGGTCAGAGGGAGAAGCAGACTCCCTGTTGAGCAGGGAGCCCGATGCGGGACTCGGTCCCGGGACTCCAGGATCATGACCTGAGCCGAAGGCAGTCGCTTAACCAACTGAGCCACCCAGGCGCCCCCCCAATGACAGGTGTTCTTATAAGAGACACAGAAGAGAAGACACACATGGAGAAGGCCACCTGAAGACAGAGGCAGAACCTGGAGTGATGTGGCCACAAACTAAGGATCCCCGAGTCTGGAAGAGACAAGGCAGGATCCTCCCAAGAGTTTTCAGAGCGAGCCCGGTCCTGCCAACACCTTGATTCCAGACTTCCGGCCTCTTGAACTGTCAGAGAATACATTTCTATTGTTTTAAGTCACCAAGTTTGTGGCAACTTGGTATATTAGCTACAGGAAGCAAATGCCCCTATTTCTCACTGGCCTTGATTTAGGATGGGGATAATCACATGTCCACCTCATTAGGTTGCTGTGCACAGATCTGACCTCTGGTTTTAGCACTTACCAGCTGCTCGGCCTTGGGCAAGCTATTTGAGCACTCCATGACTCAGTTTCCTCATTTGTAAAAGTGGGATAATAATACTCTTTAGGATGTGGTGACGCAGCTGTTCTCAAACCTCCCGGTCTCAGAGAGCCTTCTCCAAGGGCACTCTCAAAAACTATTGAAGACTCTAAAGAGATTTCGTTAAGTGTGTTCTATCTATGGATATCTACTGTAACTAGAAATTTAAACTGATGTTTTTTTAAAATATTTGTTAATTCAAAAGCAGATACATTACATTTTAACATGCTATTTTTTAAAAATTATTTATTTATTTATTTGAGAGAGAGAGAGAAACAGCATGAGAGGGGATAGGGTCAGAGGGAGAAGCAGGCTCCCCGCTGAGCCGGGAGCCTGATGCGGGACTCGATCCTAGGACCCTGGGATCATGACCTGAGCCCAAGGCAGTCGCTTAACCAACTGAGCCACCCAGGCGCCCAACATGCTATTTTTAATACAAGTAACTATGCTCCCAAACAAACAAAACACTGAGAACAGTGGTGTTGTTTTGCATTTTCGCAAATCTCCTTAATGTCTAGCTCATTGGAAGAGAGCAGGATCCTCACATCTGCTTCTGCACGTTCAATCTTACTGTGAGATGCTGTTCTGCGTTAAATATGCCAAGAACATCTTGCCTCCTACTGATATAAAGCTGGCGAAAGGGACCACCTCACGGAGACCCTCTGGGTATTGGAGACCCCCAGTGGTCATTAGGCCACGCTCTGAGAACCGATACAGTACAGATTAAATGAGGCAATATTTATTTGTAAAGCACTTAGAATTAAATATGAAATAGATGTCCAATACATTTTCAACTTAATTTTTTTTTTATCAGTATGTGCCAGGTTGGTGGGGGCTTTAGGGCTATAAGAGCATTAAAGTTTTTTTTTTTTATGCCTTCAAGGAGCTCCCAGTCTCATGGGGGAGGCGTCTGTGTCACCAGCGTGCGAGGGGCAGTTCCGTGGGAGAAGGCAGCGGGCTGTGGGAATGCAGAGGAGGGTCCCTAAACCCTGCGTGGCGCGTGGGAAGCGTGGGAGGACTTGGTGGGTTCTGGAAAGACTCTGCTGGGGGCGGGGTGTCGGATGGCCTAGGGCGTTTAGCCAGGTCAAAAGGACAGGGGGCTTGGACAAGAAAACTCGCGGTGCCGAGATCCAAAGCCCGGCCTCACCTCCTCTGTGAAGCGCTGTTTATGTCACAAGGAACTGCTAAAGGACGTGGCTCTGCGGGCGGGGCAGCCCGGCGGCTTCGGGGGCAGGGGACCCCTCCACCCTTCCTTGTGCCCCTCTCGGGCCGCTGTACTGGAACGCAGGGCCCGGCGCCACCAGGTCCGCCGGTGACGGGGTCTGCGGGCTGGGGGGTGGGGGTGGGGGTGGGGGTGCGGGGGGCTGGTCCTCGCTCTCTCCCCCGCATGGGCCCCATCCCCGAGCCCACCTCGCGACCCCTCCATTCCTCTCCAACGCAGACGCTGCCCCTCGGCTCGGCGAGGCGTCCAGAGACCAGCGTGCCCCCCACCACCCACCGCCTCCGCCCCCTCCCCTCCGGGCTAGCCTCGACCCCTCCCCGGCGGGACCGGGAGAGGAGGAGCCAGGACCGGGCCGGAGGAGGGGGCGGCGAGGAGGAAGGCCCGGCGGGGGTGGGAGGTGGGGGGGCCGCCTAGTCTGCGGGTCGCGGTGCGGGGCCCGCGGGGGCCCGGGCGCCCTCGGGCGGCGGAAGCCGGGCGCGCCCCTCGCCAGGCCGGGATCGGGGCGGGGCGCGCGGCATCCACGCGGGGGGAGCCGGTCAGCCGGTCTCGCCGCCGCCACCAAAGTTTCCTGGAGGAGCCGCGGCCGCCCTTCCTTCCCCGGCCCCGGGCGCGGGGGCGCCCCTCGGGCGAGAACTGTTTCCGAGGGCGACAGGGCCCGCTCTCCGGCTAGACCCCGCGCCTCCATTGCGCCCAACTCGGATTCCCAACTTGGGAGGCGCCGCGGGCCTGCGCACGCGCGCCTTCCTCGCCGCCGCCGCCGCCGCCGCCGCCTCCTCCTCCTCCTCCTCCTCCTCCCGCCCGGGAGCAGGCTCCGGGCCGAGCCGCGCGCCGAGACTCGCCCCCCGCGCGCCGCCCTCCGGCTCGCGGTCCGCCGCCCCCGCCCATGCGGACGCCGGCCGGCCGCCCGGTGCGCCCTCGTCCGAGGGCCGGCTGAGCGCGGACCGCCGGCGGCGGCGCGAGGTGGGCCCGGCCCGGCGCTGCCCTCGGCAGCGGCAAGTTTGGGAGTTGCACTAGTTTGCGGGGTGGGGGAGAGGCCGGGCGGGGCGCCATGGAGGAGGACCGGGGGTCGTCGCTGGCGGCCGAGTCGGCGCTGGAGAAGAACGTGGCGGAGCTGACCGTCATGGACGTGTACGACATCGCGTCGCTCGTGGGCCACGAGTTCGAGCGGGTCATCGACCAGCACGGCTGCGAGGCCATCGCGCGCCTCATGCCCAAGGTCGTGCGTGTCCTGGAGATCCTGGAGGTGCTGGTCAGCCGCCACCACGTCGCGCCTGAGCTGGACGAGCTGCGCCTGGAGCTGGACCGCCTGCGTCTGGAAAGGATGGACCGCATCGAGAAGGAGCGCAAGCACCAGAAGGTGGGCAGCGAGCGGCCTCAGTCTGCCCATCCGGGGAATGGGGCCGCTGGGACCCAAGGGCCCTTCAGCGTCGGGCAGCTGTAGGTGCACGCTGTGTGTGTGCAGGGACTAGATGAGAAGGGACCCGACTGGGGGTGAAAGACGAAGGGAGGGAGGCCCCCGGCCCTCTTTTGTCCAGCCAGCGCTCTCTGGCATATACCGCTTCAGAGATTAAGGGCAGTTCTTTGGAGTCAGACCTGAGTTCCAGTCCTACCTTTACCATGTAATAGCGGTGTGACCTTAGTTAAGTTACTCATCCTCTCTGTGCTTTATTTCCTCGCATGTCAGATAATGATAGTAGTAAGACCCACCTTATAAGAATTAAGTGGGATATATCTAAAGTGCTTAGGTAATATTATATTCCAGAAATGAAATAAGCCCTCTGCCCTTCAGTGTTACCCAAGAAGATCTGACATCAAGCCCCTCTCTTCTTCTCACCCCAAAACCCCCCAGAGCAAAGGGGATATGACCTCCAGCCACGGAGCTCATTGACCCCCCAATCTCTGGAATTCTATTTGCAAATTGTTTCCCAGGGTTTCTTCTAGTTTAATAACCTGAAGTGCTTTTCTCTCCTTGGTTTTATCTTTAATCTTCACAGAACTCTGTGAGGCAGGAACTATCTTCATTTTACAGATGAAGAAAATGGGGGGGGGGGGAATTTGTCCCACATTAGTGCTGAGAGAATCCCAGCCCCAATAGAGGTAACTCTAGTGCTTCTTCCCTGATTTGGGGGATGGACATGGTTTGGGGCAGCTTTAAAGCTAAGCCTCTGCCCTATGAACAAGAATCCCTCCAAGAACATGAATCAGGGCGTCTCTACTGGGCTGGGAGTCTAGACAAGGTGCCTGGGGAAAAGGAAGTGGGAGATGTGTGGTTTCCTGCCCCAACCTCAGCCCGAGGAAGATTCTGTCAGACCCTTTGGACAGAGAATAGGAGGAAACGCCTTTCCTTGGAGGAATCAGGGTGCCTGAGTGGGCTCTGGCTTGCTGTGTGGCCTCAGGAAATACACTTGGCCTCTCTGAACCTCCCTGGCAAGCCATAACCTATTGTGTTTCAAGGAAAATAGCCCTATCGGTGGCTGTGTCTTAATCTGGGGGCAGAGCTGTGAGTGGTTAAGAGCACTAGTGTTTGTGAGGTTTGACGGTGTTTGTCCTCACAGGTCCTTATGCCCTGAGGTCAAGAAAGAAACTCAGGCTCCCAAGTGTTAGGCAACATTTCCAAGATCACACTGAGAGCTTGAAAATGCCCCGGCCCTGTAATTAATGTCAAATTCCCCAGAGCAGGGACTTTGGAGCTACACGGCCTGGTTTCAAACCTTGCCATGGTGTGATCTTAGGCAAGTCACCTCGCTTCTCAGTGCCTGTTTCCTCAGCTGTAAAATGGGGATGATAATAGCACACATCTCATGGGGTTGTGGTGGAAAGGGTTGGTTTGGGACAGAGTCTGGCCCATTATGAGGGCCTTACAAGTGTTAACTGTTGTCCTTAGTCCTGGAGAGGCTTTCAGGGAGGTGTTCATAGAGACCCTACCCCCATCTCCGGCACCGCTCCTCCTACCCCACACCCTCACCCCCCCCATCTCTCTTAGAGAGTTGGGGGAAGGGATCTTTGAAATCCTGTCATGTGGCTGCCTCTTATTAACCGGGGCCTAGGAGCTTAGCCCAGGTCACTCAGAAGTCCTGGCACCTGTGTCCCCACCCTTGGCGTTTGAGTTCTGCAGCAACTGGGCTGGGAGACACCCTTGGGAGCCATCGGAGGCCACTAGGCCTGGAGTCAGATGGAATTCCCAACCAGCTGCACTTGTCACTTCTGGAACGCTATCAGCCAGGAAGTAAACCCCAGCGTGCTCAGAGCCGGGGCTTGTTGTAAACACTGAGGATGATTTCTCATAAATCAGAGGACAAAACCCTTTTCCCATCCCAGCCCTGGTCCCCTTTTCTCTGTATTCTTAGGATCAATAGAGACTCATCTGATTTTTTTTTTCTTGTAATCTCAAAGGCTCTTCACGGTGCTATTTCCACAAAAATCTTCTGAGCATGTCCTTGGTCTTATCGGTTTGTCTGTTCATTCCTCCTTCCTTCCTTTGCATGCCCCCCCCACACACTCTTTTCTCTCTCAGCACACGTGGCTCCAGTAAAGCATGCACCCGGTCTTCCACCAACCCTTCCCCCAAGCACACCCCCAAACTCAGTCAGTTCTGCTCATCACACAGACTCAGGCCACAGTCTTAACATGTTCGATCTGCTTACTCAGTCTGCAACCCTGTGGATGGGCCACGGCATGCAAGGTGCCCTCCTGGGTGACGTGGGCAGTGCAGAGACAGGGGAAGCTGGATCCTCATCTCAGGCAGTGGGTGGGTAACTGGGAAGACAGGAAAATACAAATAGGATTAGAAAGTGATGGCTATGCAGATACAGTTGTCTATAATGTTAACAGTGTATATTGTTCATTTACTCATTCAACACATGTGTTTATTGAGCACCTACTGTTCTAGGCACTGGGGAGACAGCGGTGACCACAACAGATGAGGTTTTTGCCCTCATGGGCCTGACTTTCTACTGCAGTGCTGTCCCATAGAAAAATTATGTGGCTTGTCCTCTATTAATAAAAAGACATAGACGAGGTTAATTTTAATAACATATCCTATCAAACCCCACCTATGCAAAATACTATTTCTATATGTAATCAACGTAAAATGGGGATGATAATAGCACACAATAAAAAAAAATATTTTTTATTGAGATCTGATTAATACATGACATTGTATTAGTTTTAGGTGTACAGCATCATGATTTGATATTTGTGTATATTGTGAAGTGATCACCACAGTAAAGTTAGTTACCATCCATCACCTCACATAGTTACCCCAAAAATTTTTAAAAAAAGAAGTATTTTGCATTTTTTTCCCCTATGTCTTTGAAATCTGGTGCATATTTAACAAGTGCTCAGCAGCCCCATGTGGCTTGTGGCTACTCTGTTGGATGGTGCAGTTCTAGTGTGAGGAGATTTTTTTTTTAAGTTTTTAAATTTTCAGCTTATAATAAGTGACATGAAGAAAATAAAACAGGGCGATATGAAAGAGACTGGCCAGGATGGGGATCTAATATAGATGGAGCAGTCAGGAAGGCTTCCCAGAGGAGGTGACATCTGAGCTGAGATCCGAATCAAGTGTGGGTGAGGTGGGGTGGGGCATTCAAGGCAGATGCCACTGCAAGTGCAAAGGCCCTGAGGTAGGAATGGGTGTGTTCAAGGAACACAATGGAGGGGGCACCTGGGTGGCTCAGTCATTAAGCGTCTGCCTTCGGCTCAGGTCATGATCCCAGGGTCCTGGGATCCAGCCCCGAATTGGGCTCCCTGCTCAGTGGAGAGTCTGCTTCTCCCTCTCCCTCTGTTGCTCCCCCTGCTTGTGCTCATTTGCTCGCTCGCTCTCTCTGTCAAAAAACAACACAAAGAAGGCCCATGTGGCTAGAACAGAGCAAGTAAGGAATAGAGGTGGGAAGTGAGATCAGGGAGATGCAGGGGTCTGATTATACTGGGCCTTGTAGGCCAGCATATGGAATTTCAAGATGGCAAAGGAAATAATCAATCAGGGGTGATTTCCTGGAAAAGCCTTTTAGCTGGTATGGAGGCTAGATTAAATTCGCCGTGGTCAGCTCAGAGGCAAAAACCATACCCCCTCCCACCCCCTTTAGGAAAGGGGGGAAAAAAAACGCTGATGGTTAAAGTCTGTATTCATCTCCTATTGCTGCCCTGACAAGTTACCACAACTTACTGGCTGGAAGTAACACGAATTTATTATGATAATACAGAGTTGGATATTTATGGGTCATATCAATATGGATAATACTGCATAAAATTCTGGAGGTCAAAAATCACACATGGGTTTCAGTGGGTTAAAATCAAGATGTCAGGAAATTCATTCCTTCTGGCAGCTCTAGGGGAGAATCCACTTCCTTGCCTTTTCCAGCTTCCGGAGGCCACCTGCACGCCTCGCGTTTTGGCCCCTTCCTCCATCTTCACAGCCGGCAGACAACTGGATCTCTAACTCTGACCTCTGCTTCTGTCAACACATCGTCTCCCACTCTGACCCCCCTCCCTCCCTCTTTCACCGAGGAGGACCCTTGTGATTACATTGGGCCCACCAGGATAACCCAGGAGACTCTCCCCATCCCGGGGAGTGGGATGCACAGTCAGGTACACTTGACCATTGCCCCCGGGGGCCTCTGTGCTCAGCCTGCACCAGGTGGGAGCAGAGAGAGAGCATGGGAGAGCCTCCCTCTGCTTCCAGCCCACACCTGCGCATGGGAAGGCCCCATGCCTGCTCCCTCAGTCTGCCGTCTGGCCCTGTCCTTCACCTCGCCTGGTGACCTTGAACCAGCTGGGTGAATACTTAGTTATTACCTCTCACTTCCCTGCTGCGGCAGGCTTCCTGACAAAGGAGATGGGGATTTAGGGATGTATTTAAAAGATGAACGGAGGCCGTGTTTATCCGGCCACTTGGGCCAGCTGGTGACAGCCTGTAGGAGGAACAGAAACCAGCAAACACATCTTCAGCACTTTCTGGGTGCTGGGCACTCTTCCAGACATTGACATCAGCCTCATGACAGCCCTCAGAGGTAGATATCACACTATTTTCCACATTTCCAAGGCACCCAAAGGTCGAGTAACTTCTCCGGGATCAGCTACTATGTGGCGGAGACAGGATTCAAACTTGGGTCAACAGGCCCCAGTATCTTTGCTTTTTAAACCAGCATTGTGTCCCCGCAACAGCGATTGTGCTATGTTTAGTTTCTGGTTTTACAAAAGATCTTTTTTTTGGTTACAGCTTTATTGAATATGATTCGCATACCATATAGTTCACCCATTTAAAGTGTCTAATTCAGTGGTTTTTGGTCTATTCAACAGTTGTGTAACTTCCACCAGAATTGTTTTTATTTTTATTTTTTTAAAGATTTTATTTATTTATTTGAGGGAGAGTGAGAAAGAGAGCACGAGCAGGGGGAGAGGGAGAAGCAGGCTTCCCGCGGAGCAGGGAGCCCGACGCGGGGCTCGATCCCAGGACCTTGGGATCAGGACCTGAGCTGACAGCAAAAGCTTCACCGACGGAGCAACCCAGGAGCCCCCAGAACCAATTTTAGACATTTTCATTACTTGGGAAAGAAAACCCATACCCAATGAGCAGTCACTCCTCATTCCCCCACCAACCCTCCAGCCCTAGACAAGCGCCCATCTGCTTTCTGTGTCTATGGGTTTCCCTGTTCTGGATATTTCCCATCAGTGGAGTCATGCACTGTGCGGCCTACTTTCACTTAGCATCATGTTTTCAAGGTTGATCCATGTTGTTCGTCAGTTGACGGACATCTGGGTGGTTTCTATGTGTTGGCTCTTGTGGATGATGCCGCTGTGAACACTCACATACAGATTTTTGTGTGGACGTTGTGTTTTCATTTCTCTTGGGCAGATCCTTGGATTGGAATTGCTGGTCACGTGGTAATTGTTTAACTTACTAAGGGGCTGCCGGGCTGTTTCCCACGGTGGTTGTACCAGCAGGGCCTGAGGCTTCCCATTTTTTCACATCCTTGTCAATCTTTCTGTTTCTTTGATTACAGCCATCCACAAAATGATTTTAATAGACTAATCTTAGTTATCCACACATCAGCCCCTTGAATCTTTATATTTGGCTCCCCGGCTAAGGGAAACTGAGGCTCAGAGTTGTAAAGTGAATTGGTTGCCCAAGATCCCTTGAAGAGATGCCAGTATCAGACATATAAGGAGCACTGGGCCAGGTGGCATCCCCGGGGTCTTTGCTGCCCCTTGGTCCCTTGGAGACAGGTGGGTCCTGACTCAGGGTCTGTCCACAGCTCAGGGCCGTGACCTCCCCAGAGAGGTTGGGAATGTCAGGGTCCCCGTGGTGCAGGGCTGCTCATCCGCGTGCTCTCTCCGTCTAGATAGTCATGAGGTACAGTTGCGGCTCTTGAGGCCATTCTAAACCCGGCCGAGTCCTAAAGCACAAATGCAGGCCTTGCCCGGAATAAGGGCACCTTCTGTTTCTTGCAGAGTTGCCGTGTGGCCTAGTGGTGGCCCTGTTCTCGGTGCGCCTGCCCTCAGGGGGAGCCCTGGCAGGCCCGAGCCGCTGCCGAGGGTGGGGGGTGGTGGATATGAGGCTGCTGCCTGGGCAGCTGTGACCCCACGCCGGCCCGTCGCCTTCGCAGGAGTTGGAGCTGGTGGAGGACGTGTGGCGGGGGGAGGCACAGGACCTCCTTTCTCAGATCGCCCAGCTGCAGGAGGAGAACAAGCAGCTCATGACCAACCTCTCGCACAAAGATACCAGCTTCTCTGAGGAGGAGTTCCAGAAGCACGAAGGTAAGGGGAGGGGCCGGCCTGGGAGGTCGGGAGAAGGCTGCTCCCGCGGTGATCATAGGCACGGGGGACACGCAGTGGACAGGACAAAGCCCTCGTGAAGCTTAGGTTCTAGCGTGGAGGAGCAGGATGATGGATGTGTAAACAGATAGATGGCATGGTTCCGGACGGCGACCAGTGCTCTGGAAGAACCCAAACTGGGGGGTATGATGGAGGTGTGGGGGGGCGGAGCTTCTTTAGATACAGTGATCAAGGAAGGCCTCTCTGACAAGGTGACATTTGAGCCCTAATGAAGTGATGGAGTGAGCCACGTATCTTGGGAGAGAAGCAAGTTCAAAGGCCCTGGGGCATGAGTTTTATAGAAAGCCAGGGAAGGCCAGTATAACGGGACAAGATGATCGAGGCCAAAGGTGGTTAAAGATGAGGTCAGAGGGGTCAGATCACATACCCCTTAGAGAGCAGGGTTTGGATTTTATTCTAAGTGTGCTGGGAAGAGATTGACTCCTGCCAGAGGCATGCATTGAACAATGAGCAACCCAGGATAGTAAGCCAGATCGGAATGGCCCTGGAGCCCCCGAACTGTCATTCATCCTGCAAACAGTTATCTAGAACGTTCACTCTAGGCCCTCTGCTGGTTTTGGGAAAGCAAAAACAGAGATGGGATTTGGTGTGGGCCCTATGGGCTGCATCAGCTCTGTTGTCCCCCACAGCCTCCTTCCCAATCAGAGGCTGCCTCTTGCCCCGGGAATCTCAGACCTCTCTCTTCTGTTGGAAGAAACTCCCTGGGTCTCCACACAAGCCCCCTCCTCCTGGATGGGGTGAGAGATGGGCTTGCATGGAGGCTGAAGTTCAGAACCATAGTTACACTTCTGTGAGACTAAAGTAGCACCCTAATAAGGACTGTAGGGCCTGAGAAAAGAGGAAATTTTGATCCAAGTGCTGGAATTCTGTTTTCCTTGGGTTTCCTTTGTTGGCATGTGATCTGGGCAATGGATGCAGAAGTCTTAGTGGTTGTAAGCATTGGCTCCAGAGCCAGACTGCCCAGGTGTGAATCCTAACCCAATACTTACCTCCTAAGTGACCTTGATCAAGTCACTTGACCTTTGTGTGCCTAAGTTGCTCCCCGAGTAAAAGTGAGAGAAGTAACCGTAGGTCGCTCATAAGTTTGTGGTGAGGATTCGATGAATTAATATCTGCAGATCGCTTAGAATAGTACCTGGTACGTACACACAGCAAGTGTTAGCTATTATTACTGAGCTTTTGGTTACCTAGTCCAGCCTCCCTATCGAACAGATGAGAAAAAATGAGGCTGAGGGAGGTGCAGCGAGGTGCCCAGGGTCACACAGCAAGCTAGTGGCGAAGTCAGGACTGGAGCTCAGGTTGGCTGAAATCAGCCCCCTGAAGAAAGGCTCGTTTCTCTCTGGGACCCCTTGATCTGGGGCCACCAAATGGGCCACTGTGATATTCTAGTGCCCAAGCGCTAATGATTCCGGACAGAACACCGCTCATTCATTGACGCTTTGTAAACTCATTTATCACTGACAGCCTGGCGCTTGGACTGCCAGGTTGGAGGCTGAGAGGCACATGCTAGGGCCTGAATCTCCATTCCATGATGGCAGAAGAGCTTGGCTAAAGGAAAACTATTTTTCTGATTACAACACACTGATACCAACTGTGCGCAGTTCCCCCCCCCCACATCAACCAATTTTCCAACTCTCCAGGCACCAATAATTTAATCCAGTTATGACACTGTCTACCCTGGAGTTAGCATCAGGCTCCACAGGTTAAGGGATCAGTCCAACGAGACTGCCCTGACTTCAGGTGTCAGTTGGCAGGTAATGGGTCCCCAGGATACTCACTTCTGTCTAACTTGGCTACAAAGTCAGAGGTTCCCACACATACCCCCACCCTGCAACAAGCTGAATACTTTCTGGAATGGCTCATAAAACTCAGAGAAACACGATTACTGGCTTACAAAGGATACAGAGGATATTATAAAGAATACAGATGAACGGCCAGATGAAGAAAGGTACATTGGGTGAGGTCTCTGGAAGGGTTCCAAGCTCAGAGATTTCTGTCCCAGTGGAGTTGGGGCACGCCACCACCCTTTGTGCACATGGATATATTTATTCATCAACTGGAAGCTCCCTGAACCCCAGAGACTAATGGAGGTTCCGTTATGTAGGCACGAATGATTAAATCATTGGCCTTTGGTGATTAGCTCAACCTCCAGCTCCTTCTTCCCTCGCCCAGAGGTGAGGGGTTAGGGCTGAAAGTTCTAACCCTCTAATCACGAATCACGTGGTTGGTTTTCTGGCAACCAGACCCCATCCTGAAGCTCTCTAGGGGGACCACCAAGAGTCACCTCATTATCATAAACTCAGGTATGATGGAAAGGGGCTTGTAATGACAACAAAAGACACTCCTCTCACCTCTATTAGGTAATCACAAGAGTTTTAGGAACTCTGTGCCAAGAATGGAGGTCAAAGACCAAAATATATATATTACATATTTTCAATTCATATGTATTATATATAATTATTTTATTATATATAAATATATATTATCACATTACAGTACCTTGATGGCATAATGGTACACACTCAGTCCCTTGAATGGAGGCTAAAAACAAGCAGAACAAGTATAACAAAGCAGAAAAGGAGTAGATTATAGGATGGGAGATTTAAACCAGTTATACTGGAGGTTATATTAGATGTAAATGGACTAAAAGTTCTAGATAAAGACTATCAAAAAAGAGTTTAAAAATTCAACTACATGTTGTTTCTAAGAGACCTCTCGTAAAGGTTGAAAGTAAAAGGCTGAGAAAAGATAGACCGTGCAAACACTAACCAAAAGAAAGCTGGTGTGGTTATAGGAATGTAAGACTTTACAAAAGAAAATAGACTTTAAGGCCAAGATCACTCTGTAATGAAAAAAGTTCCATTTATCAGGAAAATGGATTTGCAATTTCTGCACACCTAATAACTTGTCCTCAAAGTTTATAAAGCAAAAGTGAACAGAAATATGTCCAGAGTAGGCAGATCTATAGACAGAAAGTAGATTAGTGGGAGGCCAGGGGCTGGAAGGAGGAGTGATGGCTAATGGGTATGAGGTTTCTTTTGGGGGTGATGAAAACATAGCAGTGATGGTTGCACAACTTTGTGAACATATTAAAACCCACCAAATTGTACACTTTACATATACTAATTTAAAAAGTGGGCAGAAATAAAAACATATCCACAATCATAGTGGTAGATTTTAACATGTTTCTCTTAGTGATTGATAGAATAAGCAGGAAAAAAAACCAGTAAATATCAAGAATATGATCAGTAGGTTAGTAGAGCCATGTCCACGTCCATGTGTGAGGGGAGGAGAGGCCAGCCCCAGCCCCGCAGCTCCTGGCCCAGTGAGCCCAGGGAGATGCAAGGCAGACAGACCGTCTAGAGGGATGATCCTTCTCCAGCAGGTGGGCATAAGCAGATGAAGATGGTTGCACATATGGAACACCTGCCCAGGGGGCCCCAGAACTAGACAGAGGTGGAGGTAAAATTTGAGTTTCTTCGCTAAAAAATGGCATACAGCTGGAAAGCTGAATAGCAGAAAATTGCTTGGGCGCCTTGGTTAACATTTCCTGTCAAAGGAGACCTGAGCCTGAGGAGTTCTACAACTGAAGCCCCAGTGTCCAGCCTCAAGACGTGAGGACACAGATGGCAGTTTTTCCAATGTTTTACTTTCTAGAAAAAAAGAAAAATCATTTTCCAAAGTAAAAAAAAAAATGCACGCATATTATTATTTTTTTAATCAGACAACGCAAAAATGTTAATGGTGAAAAACTTGGTCTCCCTTCCTCTCCTGATTCCTGTTCCCAAGCAGTCTGCCTAGAGCAGGAAACCCCTTACTCTCTCTGCAGATTTTCTATGCACTTCAAATGTACATAGTTACCCAATGAAGGAGGAGAATATCCTTTTCCGCCTCCTCACAAATGGTAACATATTCTAGACAGTTAGGCACCTTGGTTGTTGGGTGTTTTGTTTTTGTTTTACTGTTTTAAGATACATTTTTATTGGGCGCCTGGCTGGCTCAGTCGCTTAAGCGACTGCCTTCAGCTCAGGTCATGATCCTGGAGTCCCTGGATCGAGTCCCGCATCGGGCTCCCTGCTCAGCGGGGAGTCTGCTTCTCCCTCTGACCCTCCTCCCTCTCGTGCTCTCTGTCTCTCATTCTCTCTCTCGCAAATAAATAAAATCTTTAAAAAAAAAAAAAGATACATTTTTATTTTGGAATAATTTTAGATTTACAAAAAAGTTACAAAGATAGTACAGAAGGTTCCCACAGTGCCCCTCGCAGTATCCCCTAATAGGGACATGTTACCACGGTCATGGGTCACAACTAAGGAACCCACATTGGTATGATACTATTAACCAACCCACAGAATTTATCTGGATTTCACCAGATTTTAGGTGAATGTCCTTTTTCTGTTCCAGGATCCAGTCCGGGATGCCACGTTGGATATAGCGCACCTTGATTTCTTTCGCTTACTGTATCTTGCAGAATTTCCCTATCTGTATAGATCTGTTTCTTTCTTTTAGGAACAGTAAGGCATGGCTCAGTGGCTCAGTGAGTTAAGTGTCTGACTCTTGAGTTTAGCTCAGGTCATGATCTCAGTCAAGGTCCTGAGATCAAGCCGCATTGGGCTCTGTGCCGGGCATGGAGTCAGCTTAGTGTTCTCTCTCTACCTCTCCCTCTGCCCCTCCCCCCCACTTATGCGTGCACTCTCTCTAAGTAAACTAATTAATTAATTAATGAATTTTTTAAAAAGAACGTGAAGCCAGTAGAGCATAGGAGTTAAGACCATGAACTCAGAGGCCAGATTGCCTGAGTCCGAATCTGAGCTCCACTGGATTCCACCTGTGGCCAGATTAATGACCTTTACGTAGATTGATTTCCTCATTTGTAAAATGTGAATATTATTATGAGGATTAAATGAGTTAATACATGTCAAGTG